TATGTAAGACTGCGTTCTTCCATTTGTGCAACATCTCTAAAGTTCCCAGACTGAGGTGCAAAAGTGTCACCTGGTGCTGTTATTGCTTTTCAGATGAACATGTTAAGCTTTTAGCTTATTAGGATCAAATATTCATATACAGAAGCTGGTGGCAACTTTCTTATTTGAGTTATATGAACTGGTATAAAAGAAGAAGAAACAAGCAAAACAACGTACAATAATAACATAAAAGAAGCAGTGCTTAAACGGTATACAGTTTCATCATGCATCATATTTCACTGTATCAAAAAGAAATCCTTGAATTATTTAAAGAACTGGATATTTCTTTATTCACTTGCATGTAAAGAAACCTGCACCAAAGGGATTCTTCGGGGACACGAATCATCTCTCCCATTCTTTTCTGTGCACCCAAACGCAGCACAAAGCCCGATTTCCCCCACCTTTCCACCAATCAGCGCCAAGTTTCAGTAGTAAACAAGCGGCACCGTGTGGGAGTGCCGCCGCCGCTGATTGGCTGAGCCGGGGCTTTCAGGAACACACCCCCGTTCCAACAACGTGTTCAGACACGAGTTTCGCCGGGAGGGACTGAGCCGGACCACAGAACACAGCCGAGATTAAACTCATTTCCAACGCAAAGTCACGTAAAAGCACGGCGTGATGATCCTGGTTACACGCGAGACATTTGGTGCAGCGATGAATTTCAGGCTGGAACGCACAAACAGTGACGTGAAAACAACAACACGCCAAAACACAATAAATGAGGCCATTTCTGCAGTCGTATTAAGTTCGTGTAGAGTTTCCACGCATTATATTGCAAGGAAGTAAAACCCTAAAAACCCCGGGCGCGTGCAGCCGCACGCAAACGACGCTAACGCCGCAGACGGAACAACAGCCGCGCTTCCAGCTGAACGTGTCGCCTATTTGGGACTAAAAAGATGCGTCATAGAAAAACAAGTCGCAGTTTATGATCCCGCAATTACACGACTGATCTCCACCCGGCAACGCAGACTGGAATCCGGAGAGACCCCCTCCCCCTCCCGCGGCTTACCCGGTGCACACACACAAAACTGTACGTTGGCTGTTTTCTGCAGAGCAAAACAGCATCTCCGCTTCTAAAAACAGCGCGTTTTACTCACTCCGTCGGGGGGAAGTCCTCCGCTCAGAGCTGCAGCTGCGGGTCGTCGCTGCCTGGTAGTCCTGCCGCTCGCCGGGCTCGTCGGTCTGCCGGAGGAAAAGGGGGTTGGGTCGGTCGGATACGCGCCTACGTGTGTCTGCTCGGTGGACCAATGCCGGGGGTGACAGCTGGGCAAGAGCGCAGAGATATGAGCCTGCAGCGCGCCGCGCACAAAAGGATGATCTAGGTGAGGGGTTACCAGAGCATCATCGTCATCATCCAATCTCTGTCTGTCTGTCCGGAGCACACAAATCTGCTGCGTCTCAACATGAGCACCACAAACGGATCCGTCCTTAAAAATTGTTTTTTTTTTTAAAAAAAAGCAATTATTTATGTAATTACTCTGCACTGTACCAAGATGCAAATCTTAAATATCAAGAAATGATGATCATATATTCCATAAACCAGGAGGTGACAGGCATCTCCACAGACTGTTATCAATCAGTTGTGTCAAACATATGGCGCGCAGGCCGTATACGGACCAGCAAAGACTCCAGTCGAGCCCACTGGAAGGCTTTGCAGAGATTGACAAACACTGGGACTGTTCACGTGTTTGCAGGAGACAGTGTTGCCAGGTCGGGGTTTGAAAGGGTCCCGTCACTTTTAAGTAACTCTTCATTTCGTGTAGAGGCGCAGAGTCAGAGATCTGAACTACAGGTATGTGGAAAAACCGAGCCGTCACACGCCATCGATTTGTAAACGGTTGGTTAAATACACCTTACATGTCCAAGATGTGAATTATAGATTTATTTTTTTAAACAAGCACATCTTTTGTCTTTTATTGATCCGACCCACTTAGGATGAAACGTGTTGCATGTGCCCATGAACTAAAATGTCTCCATATGGATGTTTGGATCGTAGCTGCTCTGATGCCACGCTGGACGCGTAGCACAGCCCAGTGATCAGACCCCCACTAACTGTTTATTCAAATGAAAGAAGCTGAAAAATGCACGCAGCGTATCGGCCCCCAGCTTCACACGACAAAGTGCCTGGATACAGATCAAACAGGACTTACATGTGTGTTTTAAGCGTGTGCTGCAGATCCCCTTGCCTTTGTGTGTGTGTGTGATTGTTTCTGTGTGTTTGAGAGGCCGGATTAGTGTCGGCTGTCTGCACCCTCTCCACCAGACATCCAGTCAGCAGGGATTTTAGGGTCTGAGCGCCTACACTGCCACAGAGAGAGTAACCCAATCCTATAGTCCCAATATGATTCCTAAACCACACAGAATTCCTTCCCTGCTTTATTTCAGCCACTAATGCCACTGTGTTCCCTTCAAAGGTCGCTGCCGACTGCCTCTCCTGGTTAGGCAGATCAAAACCGACAGTGCGCAGGTTACATAGCAGGACCTACTGAGTGAACAATTAGAGCAGCAGAATTTTAACACTGTGCTGCTGTGCAATAGATAATCTAAGAGTTGCAGTCAGGGAGGAAACGCAAGAGTCAGTAGGTGGTAGCAGAGTCTGAAATATCAGGTCATCCCAAAATGAGACATCCTCTATTTAACACAATGGTAGCAGACAATGAAGGCTACTTCTGCCATGCTAGCGGATGAAAACGCCAAGACTCTGATGCTGTAATGTTTACCATACCTGCCATCTTCCTTTTTTGGCTGTCAGATTAAAATCCAGAGGTGACAGGGCTTTCTCCATCGCCGCTCCGAGACTCTGGAACAGTTCTCCCTCTTTTATAAAATCCTCTTCCTCTTTGGAAATCTTCAAATCAAATTTGATGACCTACCTTTTTCTCTCCTACCTACTGACACCATTCAGTTTGAGTGATTCTGGTCTTTTATCTCA